CGCGGAGTATGCAGGGGCCATTGATGAGGTGAACCCAGAGTTTATGGGTGGCAAGTAGTTTGGGAAGGCACCATCATCAGACCAGGTGTGCCAAACTGTGCCTCAACAGGATGCCATGACTTTGGCTTTACTTATGCCAGGGACTGCAGCTGGCTTCTGCTGCTGCTGCCTCTGTCCCTGCTTGTGATGGTGGGCCATTCTGGCAGAGCATAGCTGTGTGCTACTTCCCTTTTTCCTTCAGCTTTAGCATAAAGCCCAGGGCAAACTATGCCTGCCACTTCTTGAGTAAGGACCAAGACCAGGTGAGGCGGCTGCTGGCCAGGCCTTAAAAGGACAGAGAACACTATTTTCTGTGCCTGCATGCTGCAGAGTCTTGCTCTCTGAATGTCCTGGTGAAGCCTGAGAAACTATCTCACTCCTTCCTCCCAGCCTCACCTAGGTCTCTCCTCAGTCCTCCCAATCTCCCCATACCTCTTGCACTGCCCACCTCAGCTCCATGTTCTTGTCCTCTCTCTCTTTCTCTTCTTGTTCTCTCTCCCTGTTTTGCGGAAAAATATGCGGAGGCAATAACTAGGTCAGGTGTGCAGTCCATGTGGAATTATTGAGGGAAGATGAAGGATCCACTTGTGAATCCATCTCTCATCCTTAGTATTGGCAGAAAATGTTTCTCACAGTGTTAGCGTGTGTGCAGGAGATGGAGATGGCTGGGATCCCTGTGGGAGCTGCCATTTCTCTCACCCTCCACTCCCCTTCCCACTCCAAGGAGTTGGGAAAGCTGCTGTTTATGCATCAGCTGCCCCTGACCTCTTCTTCCTCAGTCCCTTCTGGGCCTCTTCCTTCTGCTCATTTGTCTTCCTTGCCCTTGACTATTTCCCTCTCATTTAGCTCTTCCTCCTCCTCCTTTTTCCCCGGCACCAGTTTCATTGTTAATCCCAGGCTGTAAGAAGGGAGCACATAACTGTGTGTGTGTGTGTGTGTGTGTACACATGAGGCTCTCATGGAAGGGGAGGGACATCTGTGGTTTTGGGGACATCTTTGTTTTGTCATACATTGCCCTGATAATGCTCTTTCTTTATTCTCTTTTTCTCCCACAGCCAAGGCTGCAGGATTAAGAAAAGTGTAGAGCAGTATAGGAAGCTCTAGGGCTGTGCCCTCTTAGGAGCCATGTCCCTAGGCCTCTCTAGCCTTCTCCCTCCTGATGTGGTGACCCCTGCCCCTTGTTCATCCTCACCCAGCCTGGCCCCTCTCCTGCTCAAACCCAGGGATGGCCAGTCACCTGTCCAGAACCTAGTGTGGTGCTGTGAACTCACTCCCTGCCTTTCAGTGTGATTGGTGCACCAGGGAGCCAGGTTGCTGGCGGAAGCTCTCGTGGCAGTTAGCCGCTCCATTTTGTCAGCAAAAAAGGGGGGAACTGGCATAAAGCTAAGGCTTTTGCTGCTGGGTGAGTGTAGCAGCTATTTTTAGTACCCGAGCCTTTGCTTTTCCATTTGGCTGTGCTTTTTTAGCACAGTGGCGGTCCAGCAGGGCTGTTTTCCTTCATGGCTGCAGATGTCCTTAGGGAAAGTTTCTGTCTACCCCTGAGAAGATGGGCTGGGCAGAGGGGTAGTGACTTCTGAGAGTGGATTCAAGCAGGCTTTAGGTCCCACTGCAGTCAGGCCACACGTCCAGTTTCTGAAGGTGAAGCAGGGAGGAATGTGGCAGGAGTGGGATAGATAAAAGTTAAACACCACGCTATTCAGAGGTGCTGCTGTGTAATTAACTCACTTAAGCCTCAGTTGAGTAAACTGCCTAATGAGGTATACTGGGGCTGAGGGATAAATATTAAAACCTCTTGTAAGGGTCTGGACTGATACTGACACATACTGAATTTTCCTAAGGTTTTCTGGTTTGTTTTGCTTTTCCTTCTGCCTTTCTTTCCTAGATCATTTGCTAATTTGAATTAAGTTTTCTTGATTTCTCTTCTAGTTTACTAGAATAGACCAAAATATTTTCACTATTCCAAATAGGAACTCTTCACCTATTAAGGAGTAACTCTTCATTTCCCCTTTTCCTCAACCTGATAACTGCTTTTCTATTTTTTATCTAAATGAATTTGTCTGTTCTAAACATTTCATATAATTTGAATCATACAGTGTCTGAGCATTTGTGTCTGACTTATTTCACTTGGCATAATGTTTTCAAGCTTCCGTGTTGTGGCAGGTATCAGAATTTCATTCCTTTTATGGCAGAATCATATTCTATTTTATGTTTATACCACATTTAAAAAATCCATCTTTTGATGGGCACTTGGATTGCTTCCACATTTTGACTATTGTGGTTAATGCTGCAGTGAACACTGATGTACATATATCTGTTCGAGTCCTTGTTTCCAATTCTTTGCGGAATATGCTTAGGAGTGGAATTACTGGGACATATGGTAATTCTATATTTAGCTTTCTGAGGAGCCCCCAAACTATTCCCAAACGGCTGCACTGTTTTCTGTCTCCACCAGCAATGTACGAGGGTTCCAGTGAATCCATGTCTTCACCAACACTTGTTATTTTACTTAAAAAAAAAATTACAGCCATCCTTGTGAGTGTGAAGTGGTATATCATTGTGGTTTTGATTTGCATTTCCTTCATGGTTAGTGATGTTGAGAACCTTTTCATGTCCCTATTGGTCGTTTGTATATCTTCTTTGGAGAAATGTTTATTCAAGTCCTTTGCCCATTTTAATTTTTCAATGCTTACTTTTTTTTTTTTTAAGACAGGGTTTCACCATGTTAGTCAGGCTGGTCTTGAACTCCCAACCTCAGGTGATCCGCCCGTCTTGGCCTCCAAAGTGCTTGGATTATAGGCGTGAGCCACCCCACCTGGCCATGCTTACGGTTTTTTAAGCAACAGAATCTCACTCTGTTGCCCAGGCTGTAGCACAGTGGCATTATCATAGCTCACTGAAGCCTCAAACTCCTGGGGTTAAGAGATCTTCTCATCTTGGCCTCCTGAGTAGCTGGGACTACAGGTGCATACCACCACACGTGGCTTTTTTAAAATTAAAAAAAAATTTTTTTTTTATGAGATCAGCTCTAGCTATATTGCTCAGGCTGTTCTTGAACTCCTGCCTTTGCTGATTTTTAAATTGGGATGCTTGTCTTTTTATTGTTGAGATTAGGAATTCTCAACATGTTCTGGTCAATACACCCTTAACAGAGATGTGATTTACAAATATTTTCTCCCATTCTGTCTTTTCACTATTTAGATAATATCCTTTGAGATGCAAAAGCTTTTTAATCTTGATGAAACCCAATTTACCTGTTTTTCTTTTGTTGCCTATGCTTTTGGTGTCATATTTAAGAAATCTTTGCCAATCCAAGGTCATTAAGATTACATCTATGTTTCCAAGTTTTATGTTTTAGCTCTTAAATGTAGGGTTTTGATTCATTTCTAGTTAGTTTTTATAAATGATGTAAGAGTCCAACTTCATTCTTTTACGTGTGGATATCCAGTTGTATCAGTACCATTTCTTAAAGAGACTGTCCTTTCTCCTTGAATGGTCTTGGTACCATTGTCAAAAATTGACCATATATGTGATTATTTCTGGACTCTCAATTTTATTCCATTGGTCTGTCTGTCCATCCTTATGCCAGTATCACCCTTTGATTACTGTAGCTTTGTAGTAAGTTTTGAAATCAGGAAGAGTCCTTTAAGTTTCTTCTTTTACTTACTTTTTTTTTTTGAGATGGGTACTTACTCTGTCTCCCAGGTTGGAGTGTAGTGGCATGATCTCAGCTCACTGCAACCTTTGCCTCCCAGGATCCTCCCGTGTCAGCCTCCTGGGTAGCTGAGACTACGGCATGCGCCACCACACCCAGCAAATGTTTGTATTTTTGGTAGAGACCGTGTTTTGGTCATGTTACCCAGGCTAGTGTTGAACTCCTGAGCTGAGGCAATCCACCCATCAGCCTCCCAAAGTGCTGGGATTATAGGTGTTGAGCCACCAAACCCAACCTTTTTTTCTTTTTTAAGATTATTTTGGCTATTCTGGGTCCCCTGAAATTTCATATGAGTTTTAGGATATGTTTTTCCATTGGGACTTTAACAGAGATTGCTCTGAATCTGTATGTTGCTTTGGGTAGTATTGTTATTAACAGTATGAAGTCTCTAATTCATGAACATGGGATATCGTTTCATCCTTATATCCTTTTAATTTTTTTTTTTTTTTTCAGTAGAGATGGGTTCTTACTCTGTCACCCAGGCTGGAGTGCAGTGGTGCAATCATGGCTCACTACAGCCTCAACCTCCTGGGCTCAGGTGATCTTCCTGCCTCAGCCTCCTGCGTAGCTGGAACTACAGGTTCACACCACAATGCTTGGCTAATTTTTTTTTTTTTTTTTTTTGTAGAGACAGGGTCTCACAATGTTGTGCAGGTTGGTCTTGAACTTCTGGCCTCAAGTGATCCTCCTGCCTTTGCCTTTCCTTGTAGTAGCTATGGGGCTCGTACTTTGATTTGTTTGACTGAAAGGTATTGTGAGAGGGTTAGTGGCTTGGAGATATTGAACTTTGCTGGCTTAAACAATATTGATGCCATCTGTCTTCAAGAAGGATAATGGAGTATGTTTTAGAAGTGGATGGTTACAAAGACTTATGTGGATTTGGGTCCATGTTTGTTCACATGCAGATCAGTTGGTTAGTTTCCCTCTCTCCTTTTCATAGTCAAGGCTACCCACCACAACCTGATAACAAGTTGTTAATGAAGAAGGAAGGGACCATGGCTGTTGCAGCTTATGCAGGAGTCTTGGTTGACTGTATGGTTCTAGCCAGGGCATATCTCTTGTTGGATGGCTGGACCCACCATGGGAGATGGAGGCCTCAGAATTATCTAGAAGTGGTAGAAGACTCGTTATACCTCTATGCAGGAAATGTCTGACATCTGTGAGCAAGTGGCAACGTGGGAATCACAGTGCAGGGACACCAAGAACTAGTTTTTCATTGACCTTCTGTTTTCTGTGCTTGTACCTATAGGTTTCTGACTGCTCACCAGAGCCTGCCTTCATCTAGTATGGCTCCTCTGGGCATGCTCCTTGGGCTGCTGATGGCCGCCTGCCTCACCTTCTGCCTCAGTCATCAGAACCCGGTAAATGTCTTACTGCAAATGAGAGGGATCCCTGATGAGGTCTGAGAAGGCCTCCCTCTCAGCAGGGGTGCTGTGGGAGTAGGGTGGGCTTTTATGTTTCTTTCTTATGCGAGTGTGCCTGGCAGTGGATCATGGAGTAGGTAGCCTTCTTCCTCCCCATCCCTGCGTCTTCCAGCCTTTGTTTAAAGCTTATGGCACAGTTTCCCTTTGGGAAAAAGATGATGATGATGATAAATTAATATAATCTTCCATGTACCAAACCTTGTAGTGAGTGCTTTATATGTATTCTCATTTAATCCTCCCACCAACACTATGAAGTAGGCAACTACAGTTTTTAATCCTCATTTTGAGAAGACTAAACCTCAGAGACATTAAGTAACTTGGCCAAAATCGCACAGTCAGTCAGTTTGTGAGAGTTGTGAATGTCAGAATTCTTCTCAAAAGCTGAGTGCCTGTGTGGTGGGCATCAGTTCCAAGTAAGACTTTTTTTCCCCCCTCTACTCCTCTCTTCTTATACTTTCTCAGTTTATCTCGATCTCTATTCTCCTTCCTTTTGTCTCTAGCTCCCTGTTCTTTCTGGACCACTATTCATTAATCTAGACCTCACTGATTAGGGCTTCTGCCATTGCCACTGGCAGGAAGAGAATGTGCAAAAAGGCCCTGAGCTTGGCCTGGTGCAGCACACTACGGTTCCTGGCCCTGTTTCCTTGGCTTGTCCCAGCAACAGCCTGCCCTTGACCAGCTCCTAATGCCCTCCCTCTCTTCTCCCTTGAGAAGCTCTCACTGTCAGTTCTTTGACAGTTTCACCCTCCCCTGGCCACCTTCCCCAACCCCTAGGGCTCCCACTAAATGTTAGATAAAGCGCAGGAAGCTCTGGAGCTGGAGGTCCTTGAAGTGCAAATGACAATTGTGATGAATTTAATAACAATCCAGCTTAGCTGTGGTTCACCTCTGGCTCATGGCAAGCTTCCACCTTGTCTCTGAAATCGTTTGTTTTCTGTCTGCCTTTTCCCCCACTTTGTGGAGCAGGAGAAAACATACAGTTAGGAGTCACGAGACCTTCTGAGTTTTTAATGCCCTCTGAGATCCTGTTGGTGCTGTTTATTTGTGTCTTCTTCAAGGACAGTGTGAATGGGATCCCAGAGGCCCCCGAGAATGGAACTGGCTACAGCATGAAGTTGGGGCTGTCTCTGACGTATGTTGGAGATGGAATGGCCCAGAAAAGAGCCTTGAGGGACCAGGGTTGTGTCCCCCCAACAACTTTGTAGCTTATGAGGATGCTGTGCTCCCCATTGTGAGCTTTAGCAGATGCACAATTAACAAAGGCAAGCTGATGAATTTACTTAAGGACTGAGTTAGGAAGTCCCTTTTGGATAATAGTCCAACCAAATAGATGAGCTTTCAGAGCATAATTATTCTGGCCCATTTATATTAGCTCTATTGAGTCTAGTCTCAGAAAAAATGTTAATACTGACTTTCATCAACAGAAGCTGCTTTTATCCTTATGTCTGTTCCTAAGCTGTATCCATTTGTCATAATCTTTCATCATGTGCTAAGCACAAGTAAGAGTTGAAGCATATTTTCTCTCATACCATAAAAATTGCTGCCCTGATGTCATTTAAAAATCTAAATTACACAGCCAGCCACCTTCACAACAGTGCAAATGGGGTGGAGGTGGTTATGATCCTTTTTTCAGAGGCTGGAGTCCAGGTAAGTGTTCCTGATGACCTGGAATTGTCCTCCCGAAAGGCATTTGGGCAGGTTGATGCTCACCTAGGAAAGGCTGGCTGTGTGTATCACAGTATGATCTGGAGCCAGCCTTCCTCCCTGGCTCCTGCTGTGGCACTTCCCCGGGATGCCACATGTCAGGAGACTCTGAAGGGCTGTGGTTGTGTGTTATTGGGCTTTAAAAAGGTGGTGAACAGTGGGGGAAGGTACAGTAGTGGAGCCTTGTGGAAGGAGCACAGGCCCTTCGTGAGATCCCTTTGCCTCTCACTTTGGCAATTTGACCCTTTCTGAGCATTGTTTCCTAATCTGTAAAACAGTGTTGGTACCTCCCTCTTAAGGTTTTAGTGTAGACTCAATGTGATTATATATAAAGAAACTGGCACTGAAACTGGCCTGATATGACCAGTAAATGGTTAATACATGTCAGCTGTTAATTTTTTAGTATGGTAGTGCTGCTTCTGTGGTTTAATTTGGGCTATGTCAGGCAGGCTTCTGTCCCAAAATGTTGCCCTGGCAGTCTGTCTCTGTTACAGTGTCTATCAACCCACCATTAGAGATTCATTCATTCCCTTGGATCTTGTAGGCTTTGGTTTGTAAGAATCTCTTATTCAGATACAAGTGCAAGGAAGTGTGACATGGTAAGCTGTTGTCAGCTAACACCTTATCTAGCATTTCTTGCCAGTCACTTGAGAGGAAACTGGTATTTGGAGTGATGGTGATAGGGAGAAGAGAGTGCTCATAGTCTAGCATGGAAGGGAGCCCTGAGGAGCTGGCTGGGAAGGCACCAGAGCATGGGTTTATTTCACAGCTGACCAAGGGCTGGCCTGCGTCTCTCTCTCTCCTGTTCAGAACACTGCCTAGGCAGAGTGAGGCTACTTGTGCTTGTTCTTTCTCTTGGACTGTGGTTTCTTACCTGGCCCGTGGAAGTCTTTGCCAAGGAAGGGCCTGGGCTGGTAGGTATACTAAGTGATCTCATTGTCCCAGCATCATTCCCTCAGCTCTCAGGGCACAACTTATTAGGACATCTGACCATGAAAGAATCATAGAAGTGAGTCAAAACATGTATGAGCTTTGGAGCCAGGCAGGTCTGGGCTTTAATCTCTGCTCTGCTTTTCTGAGCTGCTTGATTTTGAAAAGCCCCATATCTGTCCTCCTATGGGACCAATATGATGTGCTTCACCAATGAGACTTGGATGAATTGAGGCATGGAAGGCATCTTGCCCCGGTGCCTGACATATGATCAGGGCTTAATAAATGGTAGCTGCTGTTAACATTACAACCTCATCCTCTTGATGCTGCTTTTTTCAAAACCTTCTCTGGAACTCTGGTTTTGAACTCACTGTCCAGCTTGTGGTTTGTTCTTATCAGTGAACCTCTCTCAGTGCTTCTGAGCCCTTGGCTTTTGAGGATAGCTAGGTGTGATTTGGGCAAAGCATTTGAAGACTCTCATAGCCAGGTCTGGTGAACAAGGTGAGCATAGACTGGGGAGTATCAATTTTGTGTCAGTCCGACTAAAGGGATTGGTGTACTTGAAAATAATGACAGATTTTGTGTTTGTGTCTTAAAATCTGGTTCAAAGATGATACCAAGAGGAGGTACAAAAAATATTTTGAACAGTGACAGGATTGTTGCAAGAGTCTGGCCTCCTTAGGACTCGAAGCATGTAGCTCAGCAGTTCACCAGTCTCATTCTAACCCTCCTTCTTGAATCTACTCTGTTAATCTTGTTGATGAAACCTAGAAAAAGAGGCTTTCCTAACCGTCAGTAGTCAGAATAAACATCAGCCTACCTGGGTTTTGAAGGGCTTCCTGTGCTACCTTCTTATCATTACCATCTCCCTTTCCCCTTTCTGCTCCTCTTGATGATGAGAATTTGGCTGCTTGCTTACAGCCTGCCAGGAATTATCTGGCTAATAGGTAAACTGAAGCAAGGATGGAATCTGGGCATGGTGGCTCATGCCTGTAATACCAGCACTTTGGGAGGTAGAGGAGGGAGGACTGCTTGAGTCCAGGAGTTCAAGACCAGCCCGGGAAACATAGGGAGACCTTGTCTCTACTAAAAATTAAAAAAAAAAAAAATAAGGTTGCAAGTTGATGCTTAGATATTTTAGTTTGGCCCTTTTAGTGTTCTAAAAATAAGAACATTTCACATAGAAATCTGGATTTCTGTTTTCAAGTTGAATGCCTGCATGACAGTGGTAGACCAGCTGAGTAGCAGCTGCTTCCCTTAGGAAGGAGGCAGGAGGGCTCCAGTTTCTACAGTCCCACCACTCCCTGTTGTTTACACCTGGTCCACTGATTTACTGGCATCCCTGCTTGGCCCCTGGGGCATTTCATTGACACACCTCCAAGGTAAATTTTATTAACCACCTCCTCCTCCCTCAATCTAGTGCTTCTAACCAGGGATGATCCTAGTATATATAGGCCTGGGGACTTAGCAGACAGGGTGGTCTTATTCTGGAATATGAGGCGAGTACTTGCAGCAGACTCAGGTACTTTGGGCTTTCTTCAGTCTAAGGCACCCAAAAGACACACCTGCCTATAGGAAGGGGCATTCATTCATCTGTTCAGCAGTTTCAAACCAAGCCCTGTGCTAGGCATGGGGGTGATGAAAGAGACTGACATGGTGCCTGCCCTCTGGAAACTCAGCTGTTGGAAGTCCTTGATGTCCATGTCCTCAGAATGGAGGGTGCCTCCTGCCAGTCTGTCTTCTCTGTAGGCTCATAAGTACACCTACTCTTCTATTCCTAGTTTTCTTTTGAGCTCACAGTTGTGCAAACTTTAAGTTGAAGGGATAGGAGGGGTTTGAGGCACCAGGCTGCGCAGGTGACCTGCTTGAATGATGCCATATTGTATAGTCACTCCTGATTGTCACAGCACAGGCTCATCCAGCCTGAAATCAATGTCTGCCTTTGTAAGTAATAACAGTAACAGCTACCATGTACCCAGGGGCAGTGGTTTACAATGTAGTATCTCATCTAATCTGTGAGCTAGATGTTATTATTTTCATATTCAAAATGTGGAAACTGAAGCTTAGAAAGTTATATAACTTTCCAGAGTCACGAGAAACTGGGATTTGAATTATTCCAGCTTCTTAACCACTATGCTGGAGTCAGTGCCTCTCATTACTTGTGGTGTGATTTGAGACCACCTTCTTGCCAAGATATTTTCCTTATTGGTCCTTAGTAAGGCCTGAAATTCTGCCATCTAAATTTCATGCCTTTATTTCTTGTTAAAATGTAAAAATTCTTGGAGGGGTCTACATTGTCATCACCAGTACCTTAGCATTTTAACTGTTCCTCTGACAACTAAAGATCATTGAGGGTCCCAGGCAGGAGGGAGTTCTTATCTGGAGTGAAGCACTTTATTTTAGTTTATTTTTTTGAGACAGGGTCTTGTTCTGTCACCCAGGCTGGAGTGTGGTGGCACCATCTCAGGTCACTACAGCCTCTCTGCCTCCTGGGCTCCAATGATCCTCCTGCCTCAGCTGCCCAAGTGGGACTATAGGTATGCGCCACTATGCCTGGCCAATTTTTTTGTATCTTTTGTAGAGACAGGGTTTTGCCATGTTGGCCAGGCTGTTTTGAACTCAGGCTCAAGCGATCCACACACCTTGACCTCTCAAAGTGCTGGGATTATAGGCGTGAGCCACCCCTCCCAGCCAAGAATGAGGTGTTATTTGAATGTTAACTAACTTTCCAGATGTATGCATATAACCTCTCCCAGGTGTGGTTAGAATTGTTGGGAGACCGAAGTGAGATCTATGTAAAGTAACCAGCACAGATTCGGGCTCATAGGAAGATTCCAAGAAATATACTTTTTATTGCTAGGGGAGAGATTGGGAAGCAGAGAAAAAGTGATGACCAGGGAGACGGGCAGGCAGAAAAATATCTCCCTATGTGCCAATGTGGGTTCCTCCTTGCTTTCCCAAATGCAATTTCCCAGAGCTCTGGAACCCTCTGGTTCGAATTTCCTGAGGCCTTATTGTTTTTATGCCAGAACAGGTTTAAAAATGGGATAGGAAGGATGAGAGTCCAGGAAAGAGCAAAATGAATAATACTTTGTATTTATCTTGCATCACTGTCTCCTGAGCTGAGAATGCTCCAGAGACACCATCTCATTAATCCTCTATGTTCTGCACAGGGTGGAAGGAAACAGGTTTTAGGAAGTGATTTCCAACCTGAGCATCTTCCTCCCTCAGCCCAGCTGGATTCCCACCTTCCCTACCCTTCCTGCATGGTTTGAATGGCTCATAGGCACTCTGGGGAATTGTGCCCTCCTGGGCTCCTTGGGACTCAGTTGGGCCTTAGCTGCCAGCTTTTGTACATCTGTAGTGACCATTTGAGGCCTTACTCTCCCGTTTATGCATGTGTTTTTTTCTTTTCTAAATATGTTTATTTTTATTATAAACATGATTCATGCGAGTTTTAAACATCAAACAGTATAATAGCATGTCAGAAAGTAAAAGACTCTTATTGTTTCCTTTTGCCAGCCCCTGTCCCTAATGTGTTCCCTTAACCTGTTCAAGATACCATGGGATCTTCTAGAGTCATCCCTATGCGTTTTCAAAAGTGCCACTTATATACATTACGACATGTGTTTGTTTAGCCCTATTACTTCATATGTGCTGGTTCTGAGACTGACCTTGCGAAAGGAATTGTGACTGTTCAGACATGTCTGGCTGTTGGGGAGAGGGGCATGGAGGAAAAGAATGTGCCACCTCAGGCCATTTTCTTTTTGCTTACCTGGGGCCTAGTTCTGGTGGGTCATGCCCTGTGTGTTTTCTCTTCTCAGAAGGAGTTTGCCCTGACCAACCCAGAGAAGAGCAGCACCAAAGAAACAGAGAGAAAAGAAACCAAAGCAGAGGAGGAGCTCGATGCCGAGGTCCTGGAGGTGTTCCACCCAACACATGAGTGGCAGGCCCTTCGACCAGGTACCAGGCCCAGCTCTGTCCCCACAAAACACACTCTGAATTCAAACTACATATGTCCTTTGTCCCCACTGGACTGCTCCTTCAGGCTGCTCATCTCTGGCCTGTGGGAGGGGAATAGCATGGTCTGTCAGAGTGGTAGCTGCTGCTGCAGGACTCAGGGACCTTCATTTTCCAGCAGAACAGAGATTGCAACATCTGAGTGCCCTGGAAGGAAGGCAGGTGGTGGGTGGCCATGGTTTCTGAGCAAGTGATTGAAAACTTTCTTTCCTTGCACTTCTGAAGCACTGGAGAGGCAATGACATGTGCCTCGCTCTGCAAATGCTATTTTGGGCTCTGCTGCTCGGCTCAGTGCTGCTGAAATATTGTTCATGGGAGAGTCCTGAGCACCAGTGTGGGGCAGGAGTGTTCTGTTGTTAAACCTGTTCCAAGAAACAGGGGCTGGTCCTGGCCTGGTTTTTAAATAGTGCATCCTCAGAAGAAACAATTTTCTAACCCTTTCATGAGCCTGGGCCCAGGGCTTAAAATAATGAGAATAGTCAGCAATTGCAGAGTCTTTACCATATTCAGGTACTGTACTAGGTGCTTTGTATGCGTAATCTTGTTCAATTTTCACTATAATAGGAACTATTACTATCTTTATGTTCAGATGAAAGCATTGAGGCTCAGTGAGGTTAGGTAACTTGTCCTATGTCATCCAGCTAACTTGCCCTATGCCATTGACCCGAGAGCCTGGGCCCGCTCTCTTCCTATGTCTTCCCAGTCCTAGCTGTCCTTGGCTGGTGCCTACTATACTGACAACTGGGACTGACCTCAGGAGTGGCAAGGTGGATAGCAAACCCTGGCAGCTTCCGCAGTGTAGTTTCATCAGCTCCTTGCCGATATTCATCACCATGTCCTCACTGCCCCCACTGCTGCTGTGCTGTCAGGGCAGCATTTGCTGTGCCAGCCAGCTCTCTGGTAGCAATATTGCTCCTGCTGGGTTTGCACATGGGTAGCTGCTGCCACAGAAGAGTGATGAAGCTCTGAGGAAGCCAACTGGGAGCTAATGGCATTGAGCAGAGGGAACTTTTAGGAATACAGGTACTGGGTTCAGCAGATCCAACCTCTGCCTGCCATCACCTCCCCTCCCCGCCTGGCTTCACTTGAGACCTGAGCCCCACTGGTTCTTAAGGACTAAAACCAGAGGCTTTCAGTGGTAGGGCGTGGAAGATACAGACTGTATCCACTGTTTTTATGTATATAGAGTTGCTTGTACCACTTTTATTTTTTTAAGACAGAGTCTTGCTCTGTCACCCAGGCTGGAGTCCTGTGTTGCGATCTCAGCTCACTGCAGCCTCTGCCTCCTGGGCTCAGGTGATCCTCCCACCTCAGCCTCCAGAGTAGCTGGGACTATAGTTGCAAGCCACCACACCCAGCTAATTTTGGTATTTTTTGTAGAGAGAGAGTTTTGCCATCTTGCCCAGGCTGTTCTTGAACTCCTGAGCTCGAGCACTCCACCTGTCTCAGCCTCCCAAAGTGCTAGGATTACAGACATGAGCCACCAAGCCTGGCCTTCTTGTACCACTTTTAACCAGGCAAATTCCTGGAGCAGATGGAAGTCAGTGTCCTGTGGCCTCGACTCCTACCCTATCTGTTCCTGTGGTTGAGTCAGTAGCTCCCTTCAACCAGTAGCATCCCGATTCATGTTACAGACTGAACAATGATGACAGTTCTGACCCTGACCCCTTGCCCAACCCTCGGGGCAGTGGGGCTGCTATGAAAGGCTAAAGAAAAGAGCCCCTCTCTGTATCCTTGGGGAGGGACAACCAGAGCCTGTGTGATAAGAGTGGGCTGTGGACTCTGAGAGACTCCCAGAGAATTGGAGTAGAGCACTGATTTTTACAGTTAACTTGATATTTTATTAACATCACCCTCTGCCTTGGAGTTTCTCAAGAGTCTTTGGTAAACCCTTCTTTACAAAATTCCCTTGGAGTTGTCCCAAAGGCTGGTGTGTTGTAGTTAGACCTAGACACAGAGGCCCTGTAGCTCAGAGGGCCAAGCAACTCTGGTTCCAGTCATGCCTGCCCCATCCCAGGAGCATTTTTTGCCTACACTCCATCTCAAAAGCAGGACTGGTGAGGAGAGATTAGGTGGGAGGCTTGTTCTGGCCTTGGTGTCTGATGTGGGGTCATTAAGAATCTGGCGTCATCGCGTCAGACCAGTGGAGGCCCCAGTACAGGATTGACATGTTTTCTGTGTTTACTGTTAGGAAATTCAGGGGTCTGTGTGGATAGCTGGCACATGTGTTCAACGACATTATGATATTTAATTTACCACATTCTGAATTTTGCCTGGGAGCTTCCAACACATCTACCTAAAGGTTAAAAGGAATGTAGCCAGTCCTGGGAACTGAATGGGTAGGTAAATGGGGAGGTGGTATAATTCAGTGGTAAAGAGGACAGACTAGACTCAGCGAGTTCTGGGTTCAAATCCTAGCTTTGCTACTTAGGGGATCTTGGGCAAGTCATGGAATCCTTCTGTTCTTTGGTTTTTCTCATTTGTGGCATGGGGGAAGTGTCCTGCCCTGCCTGCTGCAGAGGCTGTTGTATGCTGTGAGATGGTAGATGCAAAGCCCTCTGCCCACTTCCTAACGTGGAGAAATCAGTCAGTACACAGCTGTTCTGATTTTCAGTGGTAAATTCTCCACTTAGCCACCCCCTCAATCCAATTGTGGAATCATTGGATGCCAGTGAGGGTACATGAGCATGTCGGTTTCTGTCCCTATAACTTTACATGGGGAAGGGAACTTATGATGTGAAGAAGAGAATTGCATGTTCATGCAATGTCCTCCCTTCCTTAACAGAGACTTTGATCATGGAGCAAGGGTAAGCACAAGCAAAAAGGATTAGCAGAGTGTTTCCTATCTAAGAGTCAGTGGCATGGCACGGGAAGGTGGTGGACTTTAAGAAAATGACAAGTTTATATGGACAGTTACTGTCCCCCATTCAGTACCTTCTGTCCCCTCAGGACTCTTAAGGGAAGACCACAGCTCTTTTGTCCTTAGGCTCCCAAGTGGGGAAGTGGGGTTCATGGGCTGTTTTGGCTGTGCTCATTTGAAAGCAGATTTCCAGACTGCCTGCTGCCTGGAACACCAGGGGACCAACCCATGACTTCGTGGGCCTTCTTTGCAGTCCAAGTAGGAATTGGGCCCTGGCCACTCAGTGGAACAGCTGCAGGTGAATCTCCTGAAGTCTACCTGCCTCTGTTATTGCTGTCAGCATCCTCACTGGGAGCCGCTTGTTCCTAGAAGTGATTTTCCTGTCTCTTTCTTCTGGTTTATTTTGGGATCTGCCTCACCTTAAAGAGGCACAGCAAGCATTTGAGTGTGGTTACAGCATCAGCTGTTCACAAGCAAGCAGAGGAAAGCTGTTTGCTGGCAGGTCCTGTGGGTTCTGGGCAGGGAACTCAGGAATTTGTCCTGGGACTGAGGACCCCTGAACACCAGGACTTTGTGTCTGTGTAGTTGGTATTACAGAATGCCAGTGACAGCCAGCTTCAATGGGTTCCTGCCCCCTGGGCATCTTCTGAGATCCTACTTTGTGCCAGGCATCATCTATAGCCAGAGATATAGATAATAGTTCACATTTACTGAGCATTGACTCTGCCAGGCTTCCTTTGAGGGCAGGCGCTATAACTATCCTTATTTTTACAGATACAACTGAGTCTCAGAGAGAAGAAATGACTTAGCCAAATAACCAAAAAGTGATAGAGTAGGAATTGAAACTTAGATTTGTCTGGCTCTAAGCCCCAGCTCCTAACCACTGTGTCATATTATCTTGTAGCAAAAAGGATATGACCCCTGCCCTCTATTCAGCTCATAATCTTACAAAGGATACAGAGACAAAGACAAAAACAGCCACCAAAGCATTTTGGATGTCCTGGTGGAAATGGTTTTTGCTCAGTGAGGGCATAAAGGATGTTATGGCAAGGCCAAGGCCTTTTCTCTTTAACCCTGAGATCTGTGTGTGGGGCAGTTCATCAAATTTTATGATGCTGAATCTCCAACTCCACCTGCAGCTCTCTTTTTGAGCTCTGTGGCCTTGCTCGGATTGCTTAGAATCTCAGAACCTGTTTCCTCATCTGAAGATAGGGATGAAAATACAATATTTCACAGAGATGATGTGAGAATGCAACAAGGTTAACATGTAAAATGTTCAACACAGGGCCTGGCACATTGGCCATATTCAATAAGTGGCTGTAGTTGTCATTAAAAAAAATATACCTTTGTTCTGGGCATGGTGGTATGCGACTGTAGTCCCAGCTCCTCAGGAGGCTGAGGTAGGAGGATTGCTTAAGCCCAGGAGTTTGCATCATTGGTACTTGTAAATAGCCAATCAGGGACACTCCAGCCTTGGCAACATAGTGCAACACTGTCTTTTAAAAAACATATCTATGTATATATATCTTTGTTACCTCCCTTTCCTTGGGGACCTGAAGGAGCAGTGTAGATAAGGAGGCATCCTTGGCAGAGGCCCCCTTGTTCTGCTCATTAGCCAGTGCTGCATGTTGGCCCCATGTGGGCTCAGGGAAGCATAGCCAGGCACAGACCTGGGGCTCCTTATTGACCTGATCTGACTCCAGGTGGCTGTGAGAGTCTCTGAAATACTGGCATTAGCACAAAGAGCCCACTCAATGTGATCATGCAGGAAGCCTGTGCAAGAACACGTTCATATGAGGGGGGAAAAAAAAGAAAAAGAAAAAAATCCAAATCATCAACAACTGATGAGAGCAATCCAAGAATTATAGAGCACCAGCCATCTGGTCAGATCATTTCAGATCTGCACGAGCAATAAGAGGGAATTGAATTTTAAAAACCTCATTTATAGTAGACCAACTACTCTGGTTTCAAGCATTTAAGAGAGGAGTCTGATTTCCTGCAGGCTCTGGACATCTGTCTGAAGGAGCACCTGACTCTGGTCTGGGTGACTCTGTGACACTGTTTCTGTTGGGCTTTTGGCTCT